CTCTGCTCTCCTTCTTCTTTCATTCAGCTCATATTTTCAAATTTTCAAATGGATGTCCAGCACAAAATAGTTTCCTATGACTTAGCTAAGAAACAGAAATTTCTCTTCATACCTATCTTGTTCCTTCTGTGAAAAAAATGGTTTATTTTAAGACTATTCATCTGTGAATAAGCCAATCCTTAAAATTTTAACCAAAAATACCATGAAAATGTGCCACCATACCATGGGTAGATTTATGTTTATCATCATTTTTTTTTCTTCACTTTATCTACTAACTGATTGCTGTGTTTACAGTCTTGCATGAAGAAAAGTACTGGAGAACCTGAAAGCTTGCATACTTTTTAAGATATCTGAAATTGTCGTAATAAAGGTATTGTTTTATTTTTAAATGTATTAATTCATCTGTTCGTGCTTAGTTTTCATCTTTGATTTACTGTAATTATATTCACCATCTCAGTCTTCGAGTTCTACTAATATTGTGTATAATTGTTATGATTTTCCCTTATAATTTCATATATGTCAATATATGTATGGTAATATTCTGCTAATTGCTTCTCTTCCCATGCAAAAAAATGCTTACACTTTTCATCAAAATGTTAGTATTATTACAATATTTGCTCTCTTTTCCTGCAGTTTATAATCAACCCTGTTCCTTCCCTATATGTTGTTTTGTCACAAACGGCAGCTCTATCCAATCCTCTTATTGGGAAGAATTTGTACTATCAACTATTTCTCTAAACTATTTTTTTTTTCAAACTTGGCTTTAAAATGTATGGATTCTGGGTCCATAGCCAGAGAATGGTATGGAGGACACTGCTGTAAACCAAGGGCTGTGTGTATTGCACTTGGCATTTAGAAAGCAAAATCTCTTTAAAGAATGGAAAAGAGATGTTATTCTACCTCAAACTGTGTGAAGAATAAATTTATCTGCTGTGTAATTTTGTGATTAGCAGAAATCCATTTAATTTCAGTACAGAAAAAAACAGCCATATCTTTCTAACAATTAGGACAACTTCCTAGCTACGGTTTCTGATTGACAAGCTGATTGAACTCTAGCTGAAAGTTGGAATGCCAACTCATTATGAGTTAAAAGTTAACAGTGAGAGGATTTCCATTTCATGAGGACTACAACTGATCCAAGTGATGTTTTAAATGTACAGGCTTAAGTCAACAGTTGCAGGAAAAGTTCAAGATCCTGAAACTCAATTAATTTTGTAATAGAGGGATTTCCAAATGGCTGGGAGCAATCCTTTTTCAAAAAGTTATGCAATATTTTCAAGATAAGAATTTAAGTGTTTCAGCAAAAAGAAGCAAGAAAGCAAACACTACAGTCTTTACAAGCTGCATGCTTTCTTTCACCATACTATCATGGTGAAAGGGTGCGTCAGTTGCTAATAAGATGGTATCAGTGATATGGTAATTGGTACCAAGGAATCTCCTATGCCTTGTAGAGTTGTGAAGAGAATGTTGGCCATACTTGTCATCTGGGAGACAGAAAAACTCTACTTGTATAATCTCAACTACATATTTCTTAATAGGAGAGGAACTAACCACAGTTATTTTCCCCCCTCTGACTCTTTATGCCTTTTGTCTTATCCATATCATTCCTCATGGCAGGGCAGGATATTGAATCTGTTATTTTTGGCCCTTGTGCTTTAAGGGTAGAAAACTACCCTATTTCCCTGAAAATAAGATCTCCCCAGATAATAAGCCCAATTGGGCTTTTGAGCACATGCGCTAAAATAAGCCCTCCCCCCCAAAATAAGCCTCTCTTAAAATATTTAAATGCATGTGCAGCCGGTCCACACCATTTCCTGGCGGTGGAAACATGCCCCCCATGCCCTGCATGCACCTGCCATCCACGCGGAATGGCCTCACAAAGGCCGTTCCCGCAAACCCTGGGTACCGCGCCCCTTCTCTTAGTCGCAGCCGCAAAAAGAGTGGCAGGCCCAGCGACACTA